CTAGACCATCATGTTAAGCACTGATATAATTTATTTGTTTGGAATCAGCATGTTATGTGAACATAGCAAAAATTGACTGCTTAGGGTTAGGCATATGAGTCCAGTCTGTGTATGAAAACCAGAGAAAGATTGAATCCTGCTAGTAGGGCTTTTCTCCACTGCTGGCTTAGTACTATACCTCCATCCTTGAGTTGGCAGAAAATTATATTGACATGTAATTCCTTGTCCATATTGCTGATTCCTCTCTTCCCAGTCAGTGCCAATCACCTCATTTTCTCTAACATAATGGGTGACAAAACCCAATAGATTTATAGTGTCTTGAGGCTTCCCTTGGATGATGTAGATAAGGGGAAAACATTGCTTTAGGATTTAGGATTGCAAAGGATGGCTGGAGATGCAATGAAGGCAATATCATGAGTCATGGTAAAAAAAATGGTGTTTCCAGGACAACTTTATGGTGTGGTTAGATGCAAATGGGGAAAGACTGTTGACTAAATTATTTACTTATCTGAGCCATGTCATTTCCTTTAACTTAACATACAATTCACTGGTTTCTAGCAATACCTTCCATGAGATTTTTTTTCTAGATAGCATGATTCCTAGAATGTAGATATTCTGATATTCAGAACAGCAACAACTAAAAGAGGATCAGAATGTTGAACCACATGCCCCATCTTTCACAACTGGCATAGTCAATAATTGTGCTGACACAACAGGCTAAGATGGTGTCCTCATTCAACTTATCCGGAAGGAATCTCTTTTGGGAATGTTAACATTTACTGGATTGGTTCTGTCTTAGTCATACATATCATGTGATCTCTTTGAAGAAATGTGATTAAGTATAACTAAATCTGGATTCACTGTAGTCTTCATTATGTATGTTTATATTTACCATTTGTTCATTTGCAACTAGTGTCTGAAGTGACCTCTTTGAAAAACACCAAAATGGCTATGGGAGACCAACTAGAATAATTTCATTTGTGCTAAATCATTCACACATGAAAATAAAGCTGGATGATGAACTTGCATTTGTAAAACATCCTTTGGAAAGCCATTTATCAAACAAAATCATTGGACAAGAACAATTCTAGATGACTGGAATGATTGGATTATAGAATTATAATTGGGGAGGGGCTACTACAAAAGAGATGACTTATATGATACAGAAACATGAGATCAACAATCATATTAAAATAGGTGCCGAATATCATTTTACATGTGCTTCTCTCTGTACAGAGAGAAAAGCAAAGTAATGGCCAAAGATGGTTCAGAATTGCTTAAAGTTGCCCCAGTTTAAGTCCTGGCATCTTTTGCAGCCTTGTACTTTATCAAAACAACAAATACATATTATCCCAAAGTTATTGTGCTGTTCTGCTTTTTCACTTCCTAGTGCAAACCCAAATAAACAGTGACTTACTTTTTACCAAGCCAGAGGTTCTGCCTGTCATTTCAAAACCTCAGAGCTCACAAGATCACTAACTTTCTAGTAAAGGGTCTTCCTCACAATAATCTTCATGTACATGTCTCTAATCCTTGAGCTGGCAGCAAAGTATGGTTGCAGACTTTGCACTGCCTTCAATTCTCAGCCCTATTTTGCCTCAATAACAAGGCCAGGGAGGAGTGCAGACCTTACAGTTTTAATGTGGGACAAGTTAAGGAAAGCAATTGGTGGATTCCCCTGCCTCTGTTTAGTTTCCCACCAAATCTCACCAGCATTGGGAAAAACATCCACCAATCACTTTCCTTGACATGGGGGAGAATTGTACCTGGGCAGGAGGTGTGTTTTGACAGATGTTTAGACTGGTGTGCTTCTCCACCTGCTAAAGCGTGCTCTGGCTTTACATAAAGGTTTTTGCACAGATGTGCAGCTGATAGTCTGGCTCCTTTTGGACAAAGGTCAAACTATTTTTGAATAGCTCTGTTTTGGAACAGCACAAAATCTATGTCCAAAAAGATACTCCCAAACTTGATGGGGAGAGAGGTGATAGTTATGAGGTAAAGTGAGAAAGGGCTCCCCCACTTCACTTTGCAACCCTCCTGTGTGCTTGCCAGCTGCTTTACCAGAGTGCCCCAACCCACCTTGCAGATCTGGCGCTGTAGCTGTAGTGAGAAGGCACTCTCCTACTTCAGGGAGAGAGAGTGCCTAACTTGTGTTTAAAATAGTCTTATGGGTGCTATGGGAACCATATAATGAAGCAGGATCTCCCATTTCATGGTGCACCCAACAGTGTCAGTCAGCTGCTTCTCAGGCTGGCTTACAGGTGCTGCCTGTAGGGAGCAAACTCTTTCACCACCAGATTGCCATGCCACCAGATATCTGATGACAACATAAATCAGCTCCCCTTCTTTCCCCCATCCCCCCAGTTCTCTTCCCACCCTACCAAGCCAATGCTGGGCAGAATGGCAAAAGTTTTTCTACCCTTCTCTTGCCCCCCTCTAACTCCTGGCAGTCTCAGGATATGCTGCCATGTCTGTAGGGGAGGTAGGTAAAGTGAGGAGAGATGGCTTTGGGGTCCAGAGGAAAGAACCAGACCCTCCTGGTGCCAAAAGCCTCTTCTTAAAACCTCCAAAGATGGAGACCTACAACCTTCATAGGTGAATTTTTCCACTGTTGTAGACTTCTTACTGTCAGTAAGTTTTTCCTTACATTTAAATGAAATCTAGGTAGATGCAAATTTATAGCTCTTATTTCTGACATTAGTTTATGTGGCCATTGAAAGTAGTTCTTGACCATTTCCCCTGTAGTTTCCCTTTATGGACCTGAACATGGTTATCCTGTCTTTCCTCAATCTTTTTTGTTTCCTGACTGAACATCCCAGTTCCTTTAGCCAGTCCCCAAAGGCATGTCCTCAGGTTCCTATATCATCATTCATACTGCAAGGCTTATATCAGGAAAAGAAGAACACTAACATCCAAGCAACGAAGATAACATAAGCTGCTCCATGGTAGGCTGGAAGTGAAATGATGAAGAATATGTCCTTTAAGAAAGGTTACTGAGACATCTTTGTTGCATGGTTAATGGGATGTGAGTATGAGCTCTAGGTAGACCTGTCACAAAATAAAAGGCAGACAGCTATGCCAATCTGGTTTAAAAAGGGAAATCTGACTGCAAAATCTGTCTTGAAAAAAATGTGTTAATTTTTTTTACTCTAACAATACATTCACCCATAGCAGTCTTGGTATCAGAACATTTCTGCTTCATTGAGCTTAAATATGTGTTTCCAAATTTAAATGTACTGGTCCAAGTTGTTCCAAAGCTTATCTATCTAATACTAATGCTTGTCTAGCAAAAATAAATAGACTGAAGACAAAGCAACTCAAAAATCACTTGATTATCTTCCTAAAATTGTTCTAAATAAGAGGCAGGGAAATAAGCGGAACATCTTATTACGTGTGTGTGTGTGTGTGTGTGTGTGTGTGTGTATGTAAATAAATAAATGGGGGGGTGAAAAAATAAAAGCACAGATCCTCACTTCTGCACTGTAAAGAGATAGGCTCCCTAAACCTGATTCTAGTGAATGTAAAAGTTTTTCTTTTCTACACTTGGATGCAGATTTTCTTCTGAAAATATATTTGAAAACTCTTACTCCTGATAATTCCTAACCACATTTCCTGTTTTTCGTTTTTCCTTGCCACAGCTTTCTTCACTAATCTGATTCATTTTGAAAACTAGTTTATCAAGTAGTGACGCATCTGTGGAGTCCTTGGGGTTCTCTGAGCTTGGTTGTTTTCTTGCAAGCGTTTCATTACCTGGCTAGGTAACATCTGTAATGCTAGAATGGAGTGGAGTTTGCTCTCTGTTTATATAAAGTGGCTTGCCCTGCCTGTGTTGGTGTGTGTGTGTGTGTGTGTGTGTGTTTCTGGTAGTTTCTTGATCACCTAATTCCCTAAAAAGAAACATGCACATGCACACACACACACCCCAACACAGGAAGGGCAAGCCACTGCATATAAACAGAGAGCAAACCCCACTCCATTCTAGCACTACAAATGTTATCTAGCCGGGTAATGAAATGTTTGCAAGAAAACAACCAAGCTCAGAGAACCCCAAGGACTCCACAGTTCAACCCTGAGCTACACATATTCTCTTCTAGTGATGTATCTAATAATCCCTTTAACATTCCCATGAACCATGTGCTTTGCAATAATTTCCACTGTATTTGTAGAAAGGACGTCAGTAATAATTTCCACTGTGTTTGCAGAAAGGACGTCAGTCCAGTCAGGCAAGCTCATACTTACAATAATTGATGCTCAAAATAGTTCTCCAAACATTCCTGTTTGAAAAATCTTGTTGCAATCCAATGGGTTGCAACATCGACTCAAGTCATACAAAAAATTTAAAAGATCTTTCTAATACTTCAAGGGACAGCTAAGCTGAGACATTAATTGCATGAATGCACCGAATATGCATGGCGTTGCAATATAAATAGTACAGCCTGAGCAGAATCAAGACCATGGCAGGTAGACTGGAGATTGTAACCTTTGTGTCCTCTTTGGTCCCTATGAAAAGTGTCTCTCTTTCCAATTACTGTTGCAAAAGGAAAGAACTCTCCCACTCTCCTTATTAATGATATACCCAGTCTGGACCTAAGTCATGATATATTTTCATGCTGAATGCAAAATATCTTTCCATTTCACGTTGAGATTTTCAGCGCGTATGCTATATGAGACCTGAAGCCCTTTTCACTTTCCATGACATCAAGTTACATTTCATGTTGATTATGATTGCTCCCTACATTCACATAAAACCAGAACATACAATTTCAGTTATAAATATCTGGTTGATATATGAAAGCTTTGGAATTCTCTCACTTCCCCCTTCCCCTCCAAAAAAACTCCATCTTATTTTCAAAGAAGCTATATGAAAAAATCTTTAAACTAAAAACAATCAATTTGTACAGTATCTTCTTTTACGAGGACAATATGATAGTTGGATGGATAGATGGATGGATGAAGATAAAATACCATCTTACAGCATGTAATGCATAGCAAATACTCACTAGAGGCAAAAACGTGAGCAGAGGGCGAACTCTTGGACGTGGTTTAAGTGTGGCTGTTCCGGAATCTGTCACTGACCCAAAGCGATTACCTCCGTAATAAACGTCATCCACTTCACCTAAAAACAAATATAAAGGAGATAATAAATAAGCAAAGGAATCAAGTCCAAATGTTGTTTTTGAGGTAAGCTGTAAACCTCATAAGTTAGTCCAGTCTGTTTTTTTTTATCTAGCTGCATATCATTGCAATTAGAATACAGTTTTTGCAAACCAACCCTACCACCTAAATAGCTTGTAATAATATTTGTCCATGAGATATAACAGATTCCTTTGTACAGAGGGTATAAACTAATGGGCATTAAAAGCAGAAGCACATAACAGGCCACCATGATTTCACAAACACTTGGAAGTCACATCAGGTTATTTTATACATAGAACCTAAAAGTCATTTGAATCATTCTAAAGATGCAACCCAAACTTACTATCAAATTGCGCCCCTTCCTGGATCAGGAGGCTCTGCTTACAGTTACTCATGCCCTAGTCACCTCCAGATTGGACTACTATAATGCGCTGTACATGGGGCTGTCCTTGAAGAGTATCTGGAAGCTTCAACTGGTGCAGAATGAGGCGGCGCAGGCTGTTATGTGTGCTCCTAGAAGAGTACATATTACATCTCTGCTTCATGAGCTGCATTGGCTGCCAGTTTGCTTCCAGATCCAATTCAAGGTTCTGTTTTTGTGATGGACTGGAATGGAGGAAGGGGGGTGAAAACGGTGCTCTCGTCTTCCCAG